GTTGCCGATAAATACTTCCAAGTGTGTTGTGATGCATATCGGTCATCAAGGTACGGACAGAGACACAATGAATAACACTGAGCTACCTGTTGTCCAAACACATAATGACTAAGGAGTCATCGTTAGCCAAGACTTAAAAACTACTGCACACTGCCGTGCAATAGCCACCAAAGGTTTTAGAACCTTATGGTCAATACGTAGGGCTTTTAGTCATGTCGACGCTAAGACGTTTTTGACTTTGTATAAAGTGTTTGTACGTCCTAAACTTGAGTACTGCACACAAGCGACTAGCCCCTGCTTAAAAAAGACAGTGAGTTTCTGGAAAAAGTTCAGAGAACGGCGACTAAGCTGATTCTCAGAATAGCGAAGCTTCCGTATGATGCTCGACTGGCCAGGCTAAACCTATTCCCGTTGTCATATCGAAGAACTAGAGGCGACTTGATTACAGTTTTCAAATTGTTTAGTGCCAAATGTGCACCCGATATGCCCTCATTTTTCTTGCCTTACAAAACAGGGAATAGAACAATGGGTATGTGCGTAGTAGTGTATTTGCGAACCACCGAAAGTATGTCACGCTATGTTAGAATTACAACGGAAAAAGTCTTCAAGGTCATTTACTTAGACAACAGGTACAATCATTTAATAATAAATGTACATTCAGTGAGAAATTGACAAATACAAATAATATTAAAAACTATTTACAAAATAAGCTTGTCAGATCTGTCTCCACATAGCTCCCCCCAGAGTGTCCGGAGGTAACACTGGTTATAATAAAAAAATGTAAGAATATGATATATGTGTATATACAAAAATAATATTTACAGTTATAACCAACAAAAGTTGTGGAGGTGGATGTGACATATACATTAATAAGATGGAGTGTGTTATCGTTTGGGAATAGCAATAATGTAGCATAGCATAACGAATACAAAAAAAGGGGAAAAACTGTCATTTAATGTCTTGTTTGGCTAACAAGGATAATGTGTAAAACTGTTAATAACCCACACACACAAAAAAAATTGAGCTGTTTATTTTTGTGTATAATGAATAAATAATTAAAAAGAGTTTACCCGCTTATTATTGTTACAATTTTTTTTAAAAAAATGTAACAAAACGAATAATTGTGGAAAAATGTGATTAATTATGAACACTGTGAAAAGAAAAAATTTTTTTAGATGAGATTAATAGTGTAGGTCCTCGATAATTGTTTGCTTTGATTGTTTTATTTGTTGTTTTTTTATATGGCAAAATGTACATAACGCTTTGGTTTTTTTATAAGTCTCCCAGATCGTGTTAAACAAGAGGGTGTAGTGCTAATTTTTTCCTCTTCCTCTTGTTTCTTAGCAATAGATGGGAGTGATTGTTTGTTCGCAGCATTGTCTTCTGTGGCTTGAAAGACTTCGTAGAAAGCTGGTTTTATTCGGTCAATGGAAATTGTCTCCTTGTTCCCGTTTTTATTGATAATGAAATATTTGTGAGTGCGTTTTATTACTTTATAAGGACCTTCATATGGTGGTGTCAGTGGCTTTTGCACCGCGTCTACTCGAACAAAAACAAATTTGCACGTTTCTAAATGTTTATCGAGATGAACTCGGTTGTTGTATTCTCGAGGTGGTATTGCTCTAATGTTCTGCATCATTTGTAATAGGCGGCTTGCGAAGTGAGTAGAATCCCCGTACGTTGTAGGTTCATAGTTGACTATTTGGCCGGGTAACGTTAGAGTTGTGTCATAGAATAACTCGGCGGCTGTACATCCAATGTCTTCTTTTATAGTTGAACGAATACCAAGGAGTACAAGCGGTAAGGCATCGCTCCACTTTGATGAGTCAGCTTGCGCCATCAGTGAGCTTTTTAATTGGCGATGGAATCTTTCAACCATGCCATTAGCTGCTGGATGGTAAGCTGTGGTTTTAACATGGTTGACCCCTAGAAGTTTAGTGAACTCCTGGAAAAGGACAGATTGAAATTGGGGACCACGGTCTGTTGTGATTATTGATGGTACTCCATAGTTAATTATCCAGCGGTCGAGGAAGACTGAAGCGACTGTTTCTGCTGACGTGTCTTTAATGGGGCATGCTATGGCCCATCTTGTGAACCTATCTATTGCGGTGAGGATATGTGTGAAAGAGTTTGATGGTGGCAAAGGCCCAACTAAATCTAAATGCACGTGCTGGAAGCGTTTGTCAGGGATAGGGAACTTCCCAATCGGACTGTAGGTGTGTTTTTGCGTCTTACTGCGTTGGCACTGGAGACAGTTACGTGTCCAACGTTTAACATCCGAGTTAATTTTAGGCCACACAAAACGTTCGGTAATGAGCTTTGTTGTTGCTCTGATGCCTGGATGTGAAAGACCATGTAAATGCTTAAATATTTTTCGTCGGCAAGCGTGTGGGACAAACGGACGATTGTTGCCTGTTGAAGTGTCGCATATGATAAATGTATCTGAAAGAGGAATCGGTACAGGTTTGAGATCTAAGCTAGACTTTTCTTTGCAGGCTTTCAATTCTGCATCGTCTGCTTGTAATTTAGCTAAGGTTTCAAGGCTGATGTCATGATTGAGTACCATCGTATTGATATCCCTCCTAGATAGTGCATCTGCAACAATGTTCATGTGACCTTTGATAAACCTGATGTCTGTGGTAAATTGGGAGATATAATCAAGTTGTCTTGCTTCTCGTGGGGAGTGTTTATCATACGATGTGCTAAAAGAATGACGAAGAGGTTTGTGATCTGTCATAATGATGAAATCACGACCCTGTAGCAAAAAGTTGAAATGTTTTACTGCTAAATACATAGCTAAGAGTTCGCGTCCAAAAGTACTATAACGTTCTTGTGCTGGCGATAATCTCTTGGAGAAAAAGGCAATGGGGGTAATAGTGTTGTTTACCCGCTGTTGTAATACTGCCCCGACGGCTTTTTGTGAAGCATCCGTGCTTAGGATCAACAGTGTTGTGGGGTCAGTGTTTAGGTGTTGAAGCATGGTAGCATTAGCAATCATGGATTTAGCTTTTTCAAATGCTATTTTGGCATCGGAAGGTAACTTGAATATTTGGTTCTTTTCTTTCTTGGTACCTGATTTATCGTTTTTCAGTAAATCTGTCAATGGCTGTAGTACATCGGCACAATTTGGTAGAAATCGTCGATAAAAATTACATGTTCCGAGAAAATGACGTAGTGATTTTACTGAGGTTGGTTCTGGATAGCTGGAGATAGCTTTGACTTTCTCTTCAAGCGGTTTAATTCCTTGGGAATCAATGTGGTGTCCCAGGAATTCCAGAGATGAGGCGCCAAATATACACTTCGAAGGGTTGATTACAACACCATAACTTTTGAAACGTTCAAAAAGTGTGTGTAGGTGCTGAACATGTTTATCAACGGAAGAACTAGCGATTAAAACATCGTCGATATAGACAAATACGAAATCCAAACCTCTAGTTACTTCGTCCATAAATCTCTGGAAGGTTTGAGCGGCGTTTATTAGACCGAAAGGCATCCTCAAGAACTCAAACAAGCCAAAACGTTTGATTACGGCTGTTTTCTCGATATCCTCAGGTGCCATCGGCATTTGATGGTATGCTCGGACTAGATCTAACTTTGAAAAAATCTGTTTTCCATGTAGATTTAAAGAAAAATCATGCAGGTGAGGTATCGGATACCGGTCTGGGATAGTCTGGTTATTCAAACGGCGATAATCTCCAAATGAGCGCCAGTCTTGATCTTTCTTGGGAACCATATGCAGCGGCGAGGCCCAAGGACTGTTAGACTGTCTGATTATCCCAGGTTGCATCATATGTTCGAATTCTCTCTTAGCGAACTGCAACTTGTTTGGAAGGAGTCTTCTCGCCCTGGCGCGGATCGGTGGTCCTGTAGTAGTAATACTGTGTTGGTAATCAGCTCTGGTTATACTTTCATACTTCGACAGGATATCGGTGATAATTTTGTTTCCAGGTCTTAACATACGGACTCCATGAATTTCGTAACTGGAGATAGTTGTGCCACTGACCTGTAAGCTTGTGTTTTTGTCGATTAGTTCCTTTTTTGCCATATCTACAAGTAGGTTGTAAGCACTGAGAAAATCGGCCCCGATAATGGGTTGTTTGATTTCAGCTACGATGAAAACCCATGTGAAACGTCTCTGGAGACCGAGATCTAAAATAAGTGATTGTTCGCCATAAGTCTTATTGACTGTGTTATTGGCTGCGACTAGAGACAATTTAGTACTCTGAGAGTGCCGTCGTTGAGAGAGGTGTAATGGGATAATGCTGATTTCGGCTCCCGTATCGACCAAAAAATCTGAGCCCGAAATTCGATCCCTGACATGAAATAGACGGCTCGGGTAGTGGCCAGAAACAGGCGCCGCCATCACTGTCTGGCCGGGCCGTTTCCCTGATTCTCTGTGTCAGACGCAGAAAATGTGCACGGTTGTGTACAACGCCGTGCTTTGGTGCCGTATTTTTGGTGGTACCAACAAACATCAGATGTTCGCTTCGGTGACCTAGACCGTTGTCTAGAAAAAGATCTTCGTCTGGAGAGGGATCTCGATTGTCTAGCTTGGATGGTTGCTATGGTTGATTGCAGAGACGCTAGCTGGCTCGTTAAATGCGTTAACTGCTTTTGAAAGGAGGCTAAACAGCTAATATCTAGTGGTCCAGATGGTTGCAATGAGTTCACACCGTGACTATCATGGTAGACTTCCATCATTTTATCCGCTATGTCGGCTAAGTCATCAAGTGCGATGGATTTCCCTGAAACACTGAGAATTTGTCTAACGCTGTGTGGTAATCTTTGAAACCACATGTGCTTTCCAAACTGAAACTGACTAGAACACCATGTTGGAACAAATAGTATATACTTAATCAACAAACATTTAAAATATGTAACCGTGTCACCGTCTGGAAAAATACTCTGTGGATTAGCACAGCTCAACTGACCCACTCTCCGTCTACCAACAAGGTAATTGAATATCAACGACAATATTTGATACGTCCTCACCAAGGTCAGAAACTGGTTTGAAAGTATCTGTTTTTTTTCAAGCAATGCAATTTGTTATTTCTAAGAAATATCCTTAAGGTCTATTGGTGATGGCCAATCAATAGTTTAAACGCACATCAATCAATACTTAACACAGTTTTCAGTCACTTCAGATTTATAAACTTAAGCACCCAATATCCCGATTTTGTGGAAATTTTTGGGAAAACTGCCAATTGTCATTGGGATTGGGCGAAACTCCTAGAATCAGGAGATTAGGGAATATCGATGATCTACATTGGTACATTTTCGTATATGTTGATTAGATGATATTCAACCCTTTCATTATACTCATTTTAAGAGATCGGTTTTAATTTTTTAGATATAGATGGTTTCACTCTATAATTCCTCGAAGCTGAATTTCGGTGTGCCTTCCTATCTTTTAATTTCTACTTCATTGTTAATGGGAAAACATTCGGAATCTCAGAATTTTAGGGTCTCTCACTTCAAAACCTTGATATTCTAACATGAGTTCATGTTATTACGTTGTTTGGTTTTGGGAATTTGGAACATAATTCTGTCACAGTCCCATGCGCACAAGGTTCCCTAGTTTGTTTAGGTTTCCTTGGAACAGTCGAGATTCTACGTTAGATTCCCACGCACGGAGATTTGAAACCCCGATTATTCTTGGAAATTTATCCACAAAATGTCAGTAATATTTCACTAGTTTGTGGTCATAGTTCATGCCCTCAGAAACTAGCGTCACTGTGTTCCATACACAAACCAGCTTGGTTATCACTTATGATACAGGAGAGTAGGTACTCTTCTTTATCATAAGGTTCCGTTAAATTAATTGTTTACTGTGTATTTAACTCTGAACTCTTGGTTCCCAATATGAATGTCAGCCACAAAATACGAACTGAAGTCACTCGGGCTGGTTCTTGAACTTATCAGCTTCTGAAAACCAAATTCACCGGGATAATGATGATTGTAATATGGTTCGTTGGGAGTTTGGTCCTCTCAAATAATCAGGACCTATAAGTTAGACATACAGCCAAACTAAACAGGACTAGAACTCGTTTCATTTTTACAGATTATCTTGGAAATTGGGTCGAACTTCATTGTAACAACACATCTTGTCCAATACTCTCTAACTAGTTATTCCGCCTTACATGTCTATGGTGAATTTTTCAATCCTTAATATTATCCACCATTAGTTATCATGATAGTTGTAGATTACCTACTGATTCCTTTTAAACACAGTCGTTTTAGCCCAAAAATAACTATAGTTCCTGGAAGTTTGAGTCTAACCGAGTTGCTCTGTTTATTGATCATTTTGGATAGACACATTATATACACCGGTTGTCCAGGCCTTTAGACTGCAAAGACTTTTCATCCAATTCAAAGGGTCCGTGTCATGTAAATCGCGTAAAAAGACGGCTATAAATTTGGCAATTTTGTATCACTAAAAACGTAACAATAGGACGTTCATAAGTAAACCAGTAGACCTACAGTGTATGTATACCATTTTGTGTAATTACAGTCATTATTATATCGTCTCTAGAAATAATTAAAAACTATCTAGTGACATTTCATTTGAAATCTAACAGTAATATTATCTGCAAGGTTTAGTCACTAAGATTAACTTTTGTATTGCATTCTTGGTTCATTTCATTGCATCTACTAATGCATTTTCCTTCAATAGCTTAATTACTATGGATCATTTAGAAACCACCTATAAATTTTTGATACCGTCGTTCATGCCAGCCATAACTCATCCCCTGACTTATGCCAGGACAATGATGTTGGTAAGTCATATTCTTTCAAATGTAACTTTTAAGTTGGGGTATGAACCATTTCCTCCTGTTCGTCGATTTACTTTACGTAACATTCTACGTCCGAATTATGAAGTATATTACTACCCAAGTGTTTTCACTTACTGCAAGTTTCTCTAACAATTATCTCATTGTAATTAAAGGTCGTAAACTTCGCCAAGAAGTTGGGTTGTATGGAATTTTCACTATTGGACTTCCTGCTAATATTATTGGGTCATTTGTTAAGTCGTACTCTACCAACATCACTATGGAGGTACAAAATGCTTAATATACAATTATTATTTGCAAAAGTATTTAACTCCGGACTTTTTTGAAAAGAAAACATTTTTTGAAACTGATAAAGGAATCAGAATTTTTTTGATCAGTGTAATTTTGATTGATATCATTCTTAACTAACTTACCCTTTTAGACCAGTAAATGTACTGTTGCTCGAGTAGTGGGTGTAGTTGTTAGTTATCCATTCCAAGGTATTCAAATATTAGATGTATTTTCACCGTAAAAAATAGTCATAATGATTCGCCAAATGTCGCAATTTATCAATGGGACACGATTGTATGAGTATGAATCATGAATAAATTTAGTTTATGTTTGTCTCCCTCCAGTTGTATTTTCAATGCTTTTCCTGCTATACTGAGAAATGAAGGTTTTTTAAGTTTCTTCAGGTGTGTTTTATCTAAATGATATTCCTTTCTAGTGGTTTGACACCTAGATTAATTGGAGAAGTTATTACAGTTTGGTTGACTGCTTGTCTTGCCTATTTTTTCAATAAATATATTTTCATGGACCGTATCGACCCTCCTCTGAAAAAGCACACTCCCTTTGTAACTGAGGTGAGTACACATTATTTTGTTCAGTAGTTCAAGAATTAACTTTTTATCATTATTGAATATTCTTACTAACCGTGATGACTGTTTTTTGTGTACTTTTTGCCAACCGTTTTTACAACAAAGCACTGTGAAAATTAGTCATACATGTGAACTTTGTTGACCAAATAAAGAGAAATCACATATAAGTGCATTGATTACATATGTTGGTACCATCGAGTTGACGATGCCATGGTTTGACGTAGAGTACTAGGTAAAAATGGCTAACCGGTTAACGAGAAATTAGTATTTCATAGACCGAGGTTGTTGGGACGTGTATCAAGTATGCACAATCACCGCCTACATTGATGTGTAAAAATGTCTGGTGTAGAAGTAGTCTGGAAGGAAGCTAGAGATGGGAAAACAAAGACATTGCTTCAACCCACAAAGCTATTGACTGTTGGTTTGAGTCCTGTAACTAGGTTTAGACTACGCGGTTTACTTGATTAAAAGATGAGGAACTTGCGTATTGTGTAAAATGTACCTGATTTTATACAACACTTACAATAAGCTGACATTTATAGTCACGCAAATCTTTTCCAGTTGCTTTTCATGTGTGTTTCTAACTTTTGCTTTCAGATGATAGTAAGTGGCGCCACTCATGGACTCACAGTCACCTCCACAGTTATGGCTGCTTGTGACTCGACGTACGTCATATTTTAGAACACAATCTGTAGTATATATATGCGTGTTTGTGGTGTGTTTTTATTTATGAAACTGTTGTGATTTTTAGTTATGATTGATATTTTGACTTACCCACCAATCTCTACTGATATATATATATATATATATATATATATATAACGCTGTTCCTCTATCCAATTTTCGTCTATGAATACGTATCTTTTTACCATATAGTTTTATTTACTATTTCTACAACATTTAAGTTCTTTCTGTGTTATTGGATGTCTCCCTGATTCAATTATTTCCACAAGTTTTTCGTTTGCATAGTCCGCTGGTTAGTTTCAGAGCATTTTTCTTATCCTTTAATGCTTCATTGTGGTACTCTATCAAATACCAAACAGTTAGCTGTATCCACAGTGCTTACTCTAATATTCTTTGATTACCGTAATCTTATGTATCCTTATGGGTGAGTGATCATGGATACTATCTATGTAGTTTGTGATATTTTTAGTTTATAGCTTTCTATATTAATCTATCAGTCATTAAAACCCAAACAGTATGATATTGTTTTTATCAATACTATCCTGGTTCAAGCGCTTAAACTTTACTAGTAGTAAGAGCCTATTTTTCGATTACTAATATTTCTATCGTCTAATAATAGTTTTATAAAAGTAGTCACAAATAACTACTTGGTTTTTGAATTTCTAGTTGAACATTATAGAAAATGCGATAAATAATAACCAAGTCATCGTTTACAAAAATTGACTTCCACACTTCACTTCTGAAAATAAAGTAATTTTGATATGAAAACACCAATTCGTTTCATTTTTATTAATATATTATTAATTTTAGAAACAATCTCGCTACGATTTAAAGTTAACCTTTATGCTTTATACTGTATGAGTAGAACTGCAGCTATGTAAATTTCTAGTTATTGTTTTATTATTTTATCTCACCTCAACAAATGGTTCAACCTATAAATTCTAAGATACTCAATAGTTTAATCATTTGTGTGTATCATAGACTTATTTATTCCCATTTACTTTGGGATAACATACTTTTAGCATATTAAGGTAGAAAAAGAAGTATAACCACGTAATATGCTAACTATCATGGCTTACTAAAAACGGAATTATTTTGTTTTATAAAGTGTTCAGGAATTTCAGATATTGAAAGAGGACTACTTGATGACCTAAAGGACGATGGATACTCTAGTAGGAATTGTAGATGATAGGTATGGAAGATATCTAAAGAATAACATCAGAAATAGATATTTAATTTTATATGCTACTCAGGATAATCATCGTTGGTTCATTTTTTGTCAGTTATTTTAATATATTTTAGAGTTTGGTAATGTACCAGAGGGAGTAATTAGTAAAAAAAAGATAGAAGGAATTGCATAACTAAGCTGAGTAACCCTGAAATTTCAGTCTATCAACAAATTTGGCTTTTATAATTATTCTCATTGTCTCGTCGGGTTAAATCATTTTTTTTACAAAAAATATTTTACAATAACGTATTAGTTTGGTAACTCACATTTCTTTACTCAATGAACGTGATGACGATATACCGTTAGAGATAGTGATTATTTTAGAAAAGTTCATGAAACGTTAATGGCCTCACTGTCAAAAGTTGCGATTGTTCAATTAATATTATTTCGATCAAAGATCAATTATTTATTAACCAAAGGTTATATACTTCTTACTCCATTATTATTTAAGTCTTTTCTTATTGATAGTGTAACAAAGGAAACTTATTGTTCAGGACATTATAGACCAACATAAATTTTAGACACAAAATAGCAGATTAATATTTTGTTATAGAATGTTTATCTCTTCATTTGCATGCATTCATATGTGTTAATTAATCATATTCTCAAAACGCATTAAAACTGTTCTTACTCAGATTGTATTTTGATAAGTGTTATCTCATTACTACAAGTACAAAGTACAGATGTGATTTCAGGATATACACTCGTAAAACGAGTTTTAAGTCACACTTTTTATACTTTTGTTAGTTGATTTAACACTGTTCTATTTTATTAACTTATAAATGTTTGAATAGCTTCACTAAATGATATCGTCGAAAATAGTTTTCTTTGCAGAACAGCCTTTATTTTTCACAAATGATGTGATGAGTTTCTTAAGGTTGCTACATATTCTGTATTCATAATAGCAATTTTAAACAAAATGTGGTAACAGTCTCTTAATATTATCCCTCCATCATGTAAGTTTTTTTTATTATGTTAAGTGATATTGATGTGTTTTACTTCTTGTTTGTTTAACAGTATTAACGTCGTACCTGTATTCAACAATTGGTGGCAGTGTTATTCCTATCTCAGCCAATCTGTAAGTTTCTTATTTCTCTGTATTTATGTCGTACAACTTTTTTTAAAAACTAATGTACCTCAACCTAACGTCATTTGTTCAAAACAGTAGTTAAACAAATCTCGGTCTAGCCATACATGCTTGATCTCTAATAGTGTTGCATTCTCTAAGCGAAGTTTTGGTTGTCACTCTGGAAAATAGCATTAGCGTCAATTTGGCGTTCATTTATTGTCTGCGAAATTTCACCAACCAGTCTTTTCATCGTAGCTGCGGTATAGGTGGTCCAATTGACATTTGTTTAGTGTGTTTCTGTGTTCATTTTTCGAGATGACGAGACTAGAGCAGATGCCCAGCACCTAAACTTGGTTGGTGAATAAGAAGAGTCAGTTTAGAGGGTTTTTGAAACCGTGGTTATAAATCAATGGTTCAGAATTGGCTACCATAGGACTGCATGTCGTGACGTTACTTTGTTATTGATTGAACCTTTCGCTCAAACGCTTGGGGTAGCCCATTTAATCAAACCTCTGGTTCGATTTAGGATTTTAGACAGTATCCTAGCCGACACACAAATACGAAGGTAGCTATTGATGGATAAAATGTTCTATTTGTTCTGCTTTACTATTCTTCCGAGCAATATTTACGATTACTTTGCTATTGGAAAATTTGTTTTATACTGACTTAACTTCCCATTCCATTTTGGGTAAACGTCTTTCTGCACTAAATTTATTTGTTGTTGCCTAGAATTCTATCCTGTTTAAATGGTCTTCAGTCATGTCACCATTAATTTGCTAGTTCTAATAACAGTTTTTTCTAAAACCATTTGTGTCGTTTAGAATTCTGCGTTCTTACCGTCATGCGAATCGGACAATAAATAGATTTAGCCATGTCTTTGGAAAGACAATGTTGGCGTATGTTGTATATCTGACACCTGTATCTAAAACTGTAAAAAAGTGCTACAATTCGCTTTTCATCCCAATTTTGAAAATCTACTGCACCTGCACTTATTTCAGGGACCCTGCGTAGTAGGTGTCTGGTGTCAGATCAAACGCCTAAGCGGAGGCATTACTAATCGACGGATTTTTCATTAAGAGTCATTTATGCACTATTGGCTTGAATGATCGCATCACAACGCGGAGAAACTAATGTGGGAAAATATATCTCTTCACAATCTACCAAGATTGGTTACAGCCCAACAACTCTTTATGATCTTCCTAGCCACCTCTAATGCAAACAGCATATCTTACTCAGAAGGTTCGAAGGTTGATGCAAGCGAACAGCAATTATATGTAATTACTTTTAAAATGCTCCTAAAGTACAACAATAAACTAACATGTTACAAGATCAACCAATAAAGAAAATAAGGATTTAGCCCCAGTATAAATAGCTAGTACTTTACGTATAAAATTTAGAAGGGAAAAAGCACAAATTTAAATTTCAGTCAGTCAGTAAGTAACAACGTAGAACTTCGTACGTACGTACATCAGTTCGAGCTGCCACACCACATTAGCACACAGATGCAGTGGTCGATTCAAATCCCGTAGTGGTAGAGATAGTAAGAGTATCAGCAGTAATCGGGAAGATTAGTGTTTGAAGATGCTATTTAAAGAGTATAATACAGTGAAATAAATTTGGGAAGAGAAAAAAAAGAGACAAGGAGGAATAAGGAGTTCAAAATTTATGAGAACACAAAGAGTGTATGCACTTGCGCCATTGCAAACGATTTTCAGCCATGTCATTCAAGGTCTCTAACCATCGGTTGCTATCATATCGCGGTCCCCAACCAGGTAGTCAACATCTACCAACATGACCCAGTCCACTTGTCCGTGACTTCATGGACTTGTGCCATGTTTTGGTCTGGCCGCCCCTAGCTTTCTTCCAACCTACTCCTATACCACTGAACATAGCACGTCGAGGCAGTCGGTCGTTGGGCATACGTAACACGTGTCCCAGCCATCTCAACTGACGAAGTTTCACTACGTCATCAATTGATTTGCCATCCTTACCTAGTACCCGTTTCCTAACAACTGCATTACTTACTCGATGGTCCCAGGATATACGAGCAATATTTCGAAAACACCTATGATCAAATACTAGTAACCTACGGATATACCCTACTCTTACCGGCCATGTTTCACTGCCATAAAGTAGGACGTAACGAACTGCTGCGCAGCAAACACGTCCTTTGGTTGATAGACGGATATCTCACCTACGCCATAAATGACGCAAGTTGGTAAAAGCTAGTCGAGCCTTCTGTATCGGGACTGAGATTTCGTCACTCACCAGACCACAAGGGCTGATGAGACTTCCAAGATAAGTGAAGCGATCGACACGCTCAATTACCTCACTCCCAATCATTAGTTTGTGTGTCAATGCAACCCAATCCTGAAGCAACATTTTGCATTTCGAGGGGGAGAATCGCATCCCGAACATGCTTGCATTGTTGCTTAGAGTGGCCAGAAGACTCTGCATTATGTCAGCGCCTTCACCAAATAAAACTATGTCATCAGCATATTCTAAGTCAACAAGTGAACCTCCTGGTAGAAGTTCAACTCCTGGAAATCTAAACGAGGGAAGTGTCATCTCTCAACGTACGTCGACGACAAAGTTGAGCAAGGATGGAGAGAGTGGACAGCCCTGACGAACACCACTTGAGGTATTCGATTCTGATGACAGTTCACCATAAGCTCTCACTCGACCAGTTGTGTTTGAGTAGAGAGCCTTTATAATGTTAATGTACTTCTTTGGTACTCGTTTCAGTGACAAACACTGCCATAAAAACTCACGATCAACAGAGTCGAATGCCGCCTTAAGGTCGAGAAATACTACGATTGTGGGGCGTCTGAATGTGTGTCTGTGTTCTAGAACCTGACTTAGTGTTAATATCTGGTTTATACAACCACGTCCAGGTCGAAAACCAGCCTGATTTTCTCTAATCTGTTCTTCACGAGCTTTGGTTAGGCGTCGAAGTAGTATTAAAGCTAATATTTTAGACACTATATTAGTCAAACTGATTCCTCTGTGATTGTCACAAGAGGACTTTTGTCCTTTCTTATAGACTGGCACAATCAGTGATTGAGACCAGTCAGATGGGATTACGTCCAGTTCCCAAATTCTACCTAAGACCTCGGTTAATCTCATTGCTAATACTGGACCACCATCCCTAAAAATCTCAGGAGTAAACCTGTCAGGGCCTGCTGCTCTCCCTCGTTTCAGATTTCCTATGGCTTTTTCAACTTCGTAAAGAGACGGAGGACCTACATTAACTTGCCATTCAGGTTGACTGGAGATCGTTAGAAACCGAAATGTGGCTGAAGGCCAGTTGAACTGATCCCTAAAGTGTTCTGCCCATCGATCCAATCTCTTGGATTGAGAATGAATAATATGTCCATCTTTTTCTGAGAGTGTTTCGCTAACGGTCGGTTTCCTAATACCGGTTTCCTTAACAAGTCTGAACAATTGTCTGCTATTACCTATTGCCGCTGCCTTTTCCATCTCTCTTGCTTTCGCTACCCACCACTGTTCACGATCATTGTGTAGACTTCTTGTCAGCTTGCGCTTAAGCTGACTCCGCTCTTCATTATGTTCAGAGCCAGGTGGAATGTGTTTCCGAGCATCTATCAGTGCGATAGATGCTGCTGAGATCCAGTGTTGCTCCCTAACCTTTGGTTTACCTTACTAGCAGATATCACTGCTGTTTCCACAGCTTTTCGGATATCATTCCATGCTGCCTCGGGGTGGGCATCACATACATGGCTGCCTAACTGTTTTCCTAGTTGTTCCTGAAATATACTCTTAGCTTGACTATCATTAAGTAGGGCCCTAAGAGGTTTCCTTGCAGCGTCTTTCCTACGTCCAGTAAGACGCAAGCAAATACGCGCTCGCACTAGAGCATGATCTGAATCTAAGCATGTGCTCCAGAATGAGCGACAGTCTTCTATCGAGCCCCTCCATCGGTGGCTGATAGCGATGTGATCTATTTGGGTCCAACGTTGGGACGAATTAGGGGGTCGCCATGTTAAAAGATGTTTTTCCTTATGCTTAAAGTTAGTATTTGCAAGGAACAGGCGGTTATCTGAGCATAGCTGCAACAGACGGTCGCCATTATCTGTTCTTTGAGCCACGACACCATAAGATCCACCTAGGTGTCTTTCCCTATCGCTTAGTTTACCTACTTGAGCATTAAAGTCACCGGCCATTATTACTACATCCGGGCGCCTAGCTTTTAGGAGGAGGTCGGAGAGGTTTCTGTAAAACTCATATTTTACATCATCTGAGCTGCAGTCAGTGGGAGAATAGGCAGAGACGACGAAGAGGCAACGACGAGTGTCCATATCTTTCCGAGTCCTTACTGTTCCGTTTAGTCGGACAGTGCACAAACGACTGTCTACTGTGATCCATTCTAAGAGAGCTGGTTCTGCCCTAGGACTCAATGCTATACCTACGCCGGCGAGGCCACGGGAAGCATAATCAGGGCTTCCAGATACACGAAGCGTAAATCGAGTCGGTTCTTTATTTTAGCATGACGCTACTCGGATCTTGTATGCGCGTTTCGGAGACGCAGCACACATCGATGGCGCGAGATTCTAAAGTCCTAGCTAAGGAAGCCTGCTGTCCTATTTGGCACAGTGTTCGTACGTTAAAAGCTCCTACGTGTAGTTTAGAGCGTGGTTTCAGGAGACCAGGAATGGCGTTCCACGTACTCGAATCGTTTGCCCTAGCGGTGCGAGGTGATAAAGAGACGTGAGGAGGGTTAGTCTGGAGATAAGAGAGGTATTAGGAGGTGTAGGAAGGATTTGAATGTGACCAACTTGGTCTCGTGTGCTGTTAGAGGTATGAGGGCGGTTTTCACTTCCCGGTTGCCCACACCGAGGAAGGGTTCTTCTGGAGGTACCTGAAAAGGAAATTGGATTAGTGTCTGTCTTAACGACCTGGGAGCTTGACTGCAGTGCCCAAAGGACAACTGCTTGAGGCCGGTCGCGCACGGCCTTTTCGTGGGAGGTTTTTGACGTGTTAGCTCCGTTCTTCAAAGGGCCTTACCGCAGGAGACGGAAATCCGTGAGGTAAGGTGAGGTGTGCATTTTTAGGGTCGACCCTTTCTAACCCCACCCCTCCTTGTGGGAAGGCAGCATCGCTGTCATGCTGGTTGTCCGAGGGAAACACCTTACTGCTGTCACACCTCTGTACAGTCAGCAGTATGACTTCGCCCTCAGACCTTGAGTTGCTGCTTTTAGTCTTACCGTTCTCCAATCGACCTGCTTGGTATGGTAGAATCTACAGGAACATATGTTCCAGCCAATATAGCTCGGGTGGGTCATCACGATAGGCAAGCCCGACCACCACGTCAAGGTAGCAGCTTCGGTCGGGAAATTTAAATTTACAAAATAAAAACAAAAAGCATGAATGTTAGATTATTTTTAGCAATTTAATCATCTTCAACAAAACTATGTACATATAGAACTTTACATTCTCAGCTGACCAACCTCATAAAACCGTTTATAATTAATCTTTCTATTTTTGATATAATCATCATTGATAACCGTGTTGCCAGTCACTTCACCTCAAGGATCCCCGTCAACAGTCGTCTATGTGCTGTTCGGCTGAACGGCTACGTAAGAACTCGGAAGGATAGGGACACACGTCGTTGCCTTTTTGTCGTTTCTGCCTACGCTCCCACTGACTGCAGCTCAGATGATGTGAAAGATGAATTTTACAGAAAGCTGTCCGAACTTCTTCAGAAAGCTAAACGCTCAGACATAGTACTCGTAGCAGGTGATTTTAATGCTCAGATAGGCAGTTTAAACCAAACAGAAAGGCATTTAGGTGGATATTTTAGTATTCCGGCACAGCGAACAGATAATGGTGACCGTCTGCTGCAACTGTGCTCAGACAATCGCTTATTTTTAGCAAACACAAATTTTAAGCATAAGGAGAGACATCGTCTAACATGGCGACCCCCTACACCAAACCAACGATGGACTCAAATAGACTATATTGCCATCAGTCATCGTTGGAGAGGGTCGGTAGGAGATTGTCGCTCATTCTGGAGTACCTGCTTGGACTCCGACCACGCCCTAATACGGGCACGCATCTGCTTGCGCCTCACTGGACGCAAAAAAGCCACATTAAAAAGACCCGTTAGAACTGATTTGAGTAACGAGAAAACCAAAAGTAGGTTCCAGGAACAACTGAGGTCACGATTAGGTAGTTTTGAAAACAAGGTTGGGCAGGTAGTCCAGATGGACTGGTTCCAGAGGTCTTTAAGGATGGTGGTCCAATTTTGGCGATTAGGTTGACTAATATTTTAGCTAAGATCTGGGAGTTAGACTTTATCCCATCTAACTGATCACAATCACTTATCGTCCCAATATATAAGAAAGGGTCGAAATCATCCTGTGACAACCACAGAGGGATTAGTTTAACTAATATAATATCTAAAATACTAGCTTCGATAATTATCAGACGCCTAACTAAGACTCGTGAACTGCAAACACGAGAGAACCAAGCTGGCTTCAGACCTGGTCGTGGCTGCATCGACCACATATTCACCATTCATCAGATTCTAGAACACAGGCATACCTATCGACTTCCGACAATGGTGGTCTTTCTCGACTTAAAAGCAGCATTTGACTCTGTAGATCGCGAGATTCTGTGGCAGTGTCTGTCATTGAAAGGCGTACTCCAGAAGTACATAAACCTTGTAAAGGCTCTTTACTCGAACACTACTAGTCGAGTTAGAGCTTATGGCGAACTGTCATCTACTTTTGCAACCTCAAGTGGTGTCCGTCAAGACTGTCCACCATTTTTGTTTAACTTCATCATAGACCTATTGATGGAAATAACATTCTCGTCTACTGAATTCTCGGGTATTGATCTCCTTCCAGGAGGTCCACTTATCGACTTAGAATACGCAAATGACATAGTCCTGTTTGGTGAAGACGCTGACAAAATGCAGAGTCTTCTAGTAGCACTGAGCAACAATGCCAGGATGTTTGGAATGCGCTTCTCTCCCTCTAAATGCAAGTTGTTGCTTCAGGACTGGTCTGCGTTAACACCTGAACTAAGGATAGGGAGTGAAGTAGTCGGTCGCGTTGACAACTTCACTTATCTTGGAAGTCTGATAAGCCCTAATGGGTTGGTGTCTGACGAAATCTCAGCACGGATTCGAAAAGCTCGCTTGGCTTTTGCCAACTTGCGTCACCTTTGGCGAAGGCGAGATATCCGTCTATCAATAAAAGGACGAGTATACTGCGCGGCAGTTCGTTCTGTTTTAATTTACGGCAGCGAAACATGGCCCTTAAGAGTAGAAGACACCCGTAAGCTACTAGTATTTGACCGCAGATGCCTTAGAAATATTGCTGGCATCTGTTGGGATCACCGGCTAAGTAATAGTGAGGTTAGACGCAGGGTATTAGGGAATGATGGTAAATCAGTTGATGAGGTTGTTAATCTTCATCGACTGAGATGGTTGGGCCACGTGTTACGTATGCCTGAACACCGACTACCACGACGTGCAATGCTATCCGGTATTGGAGATGGTTGGGAGAAAGTTAGGGGCGGCCAAACCAAAACGTGGTATCAGTGCTTGAAGACACTAACTTCTAGTCTGAGCCATGTTGGTAGATGCAGACTACTTGACTGGGGTCCGTGTGACTGTCGTAACCAATGGTTGGAGACTCTTGGTGACATGGCTCAGAATAGATCACAATGGCGTCGGTGTATACACTCTCTGTCTTCCCTTAAACTGAGAGATTAAAATCGCTTCATATCTTTTTTCTACGAACCAATTTTTTCTTCTTGTACTATATCTCTATATGCAGTCTTTCTCTTATATATTACCACCTTTGACATAACCACTCCTATGAATCCGCTGTTCATCTTGTTGTGCTGATGCGGTATGGCAACCTGGACTGATGCATATATGTGCCTGGTCCTACGTTGTAGCTGACTGACTGACTGACTTTTGATAAATAATATTTTCTAGAATATATTGCTAGGCTGTATTTATTTACTTGATCAAATAAGACATTAAATGATTTGCTTAACATCTTTAAATTGCTTTTTTGAGGAATGATAAATTATATAAATTTGTACGTGCTCCTCCGGACTATACTTTAACCGTATTTTCTGAAAAATACTTATTTTAGTGTATGCATAAATAAAGACTTTAATAAATTAACATTTTTGCTTTATAGGATGCTTTTGTTAGAGGATCATCCTTATTCTTCCGACGTGCTCCATCACCAGTGTCTAAATTACATGGCTATAGTCAGTGAAAATACCTTTAGCTTACATGAACGGGATTACCTGAAACTGTATTGATCTGTTTTTTCTCTTTACTCACATATTCTGTTACATGACAAATAAAATATATTTAATTGATTATTTGTTTTCAATACCGATTGAGAATCTATATCACTGCAACCTTTAGTTGACATTAACGACAAATCTCTTTGCACTACTAATGTGGTTAATTATTCATCATTCTGTTTGTGTTTGCATGTATATGTTATTGTTGAGAATGGTTTCATTGATATGTATTCGTTCACTTGCCGCACTGACAATTTCTTTTTTTAAAAAAGAATGTTGCACTAGCTTTAATATTGCTTATATTGTATACGTTCAAAACAATCAAGAAATGGTACGTAATTTGTCTGTTGCCTCCTCCTGCCCACCCCAAGTATTATTCCAAACATTATCAGTAAAACAATACTCTTAGTCGAAGATGAATTTATATTACCCCAGTGAATAATTAAGATGAATAGTCTTTGTACAGAAATACACATACCTTTATTGTAAGAGTACATTTACTGAATCTAAATGAAATACTACTACTATTGCATTTATGAATTAATTCATTCATCATTGCGTACTATGATGGCTTACTATTGTGTATACGTATCATACGTTTGGTTGTTGCATTTTCTTTTAACTAAAGAATGAGAAACTATGTGCTGATTATAGTACAGTGTAGTTCTAAAGGAGTTGTTAAATATGTATCTGTCTAATGTATCGTAATTATGAAAAGAATAAGTTAAGGTATATTTGTAAAATCTAGAAATTCATGATATATTGTAAAGAACCATCGAAAATTATATTCACCTCAATCAGTTGTGTGAATAAAGACATCGACTAGAGGTCAGTAAAATATGTGCAACTGCTTCATTTCATCCTGTGACTCAGTTAAGGTACAATCATTAACAATTTACCATTTTGGAGGTGAACCAATAGGTAAGTTAGTCTTCTAACAATTATAACTCATTTTTTCAGTTAGAACTTCAAATTTTAATCAATTCATGATACCACTCATTTAAGCAGAATAATTAAAAACAATGTACACAGTAAAAATAAAATAACTGAGGAACAGCATTACTGTCAAGAAATAAACTGAATTCATTTTCGTCACTGTCTTCGATCTCGAACTGCATGACTTGAAGTCTTTAGTTATTTATCAGAGTTTTCTTCTAAACTGTGATGGGAGGCCATAGATCTAGCAGCAAAACTTGTACCGCTAGTGGATAAATAGACTGTTTTGGAAGCTTACTACGGTACTTGATAAACAGAATAGTACAATTTACAGGTTAGTAGCGTTGTACCCATAGCATGTATCCCATCCTTAATTGTTGATAGTTTACGAATTCATTGGCTAGTTTCTTCTCATTATCTAGTCTTGCCTGGGTCCAGTTGTCAGTAAAACTCATCTCCCTCATCTGAAATCTATTATTATGGTTTTATCACTCTTCTATCTACTTGCATAGCACAATAAAGTACCATGAGCTAACCCAAACCACATTTTTCTAAATAAATTGGTGCAGGATTACCATATCTCGTTTTAGTACCATATATTATCTTTCCAATTTTAATTCAAATGTTAGTAAGTTGAGTCTGAGGACCTGAAACTCATTTGTACCAGTTCCTGTTGTATAATAAATACTGTTACAAGACACACATTAAAGCAGAAGTTGAGTTAATTTGTGACCCATACATCAGATATCTGTTATTACCAAGGACAGGGAATCTAATAGTATTATTCCCTGGCGAATATTTATTATAATACCTGTCCTCTGGGAATTAAGAGAATAAGCTAGTTTGTAGTTTATCTTAGGTACTACACTGTTTCAAGGAAGTTATTGTATTACAGACTTTTCTAACATCTATACTATTGTCACTTGTCGAAATGATCATATTTGTTAATCTATAGTTGTTAGTGACAAGTTATGTTATTTTAATCTACTTTAAGTTTTTGTTTTATTTTTCTCTTCAACTTTGTTAAATGATTTGAGATTTTGCCTCTGTATATCCTTCACAAGAATAAGAACACACATTTGATTTATAGATATATTATTATCAATAATCTTTATGTGTTTCAAGACAGTGATTACTACAATTAACCTAATAGTAATGAGAAGTAACGTACTCTATTTTCCGGTACATGTTTCTGTAACAAATAGTTTTTTCATGTACATTTGAGGTACTTGTAATGCCGAGTTATGTTACCACTGTTAGTTTGAAATATATATGGCGGTTCTTGAACATCTAGAAAATATTAGTGATGTTATTATCATGTATTCCTTGCGGGTTATTTTGTTATGACTTCTGTGTGATTGTTCAACACGATGGCAGTCTACATTTCTCAGTTCCATCATTACTTAATATCTTTATTGTATGTTCTGAAAGCCTTGTTTTGCTTCCATTCTCACGGATCTTTGATAGTTGGGGCTTCTATCGATATAAGCATCAAGAAGCTACCAATTCTATGATATATTTAAAAATAATCGTTTGTACTTAGTGCAATTAAGGTATTCTGTAATTGGAAAAACCTTTGTTCACTTGTTCGCGCCTCCAATATTCACAAGTAGAATAAAAAACTACTTCCCATTAACATAATTAACTGAATATTTACTAATCCATTTATGACCTCTCTCTAGCCAGATAGAAATACCAGCTGTTAGACTTACAGGTTGATCCAAGTTATGTATCGTTTCCTTTTTAATACTTTATTTGTTTAATATGAAAGACATTAAAATTGTAATTTTCCTCTTTTATTTCGTCTCATTACAGTAAAAATGTCAACGGAACAAATAATACAAAATGACAGTGACTTACCTCCTCCATACTATCAGATAAATCACGAATGTATTCGTCGTTACAAACGTAGAACTCATTGTGCTTACTTCACATTAATTATATCAGGCATTGTAATGATGCTATTCGGTGCCCTTATTCTCGTGATTTTGATACCACAAGAAATCAATTTATATCGATGGAATATAAAAGGACCATTATCAAGATTTTTTAATCACGACAAAACTGTTTTACTAATTAGTATGGATGGATTTCGTCATGATTATATAGAATTGACTAAAACTCATCTGGGCTCTAATGCATTACCGAATTTCGATCGTCTAATATCGGAAGGTGTACGAGCTATGGAATCGATCAATGTTTATCCTACAATTACTCTACCTAATCATCGTACATTAATTACCGGTTTGTATCCTGAAAATCATGGAGTTGTTGGGAATAGTCTACTGGATAAGAAATGGCCAAATAAAATTTTCAGTATATATGATCAGGAAAGCCTAAATCATGCTCCGTGGTTAACTGATTGGCCTGAACCTATATGGGTTACATTGCAAAAAAATGGTGGCTACGCTGGTTCACTTTTATGGCCTTTAACTGATCAGTTTGTTAGCGATGATTTACCATTTCAACGAGTTTCACAATATGCTTTACTTAATGACTATGAACACCGTTATGCGTATGACCAACGAATCAGAGATATACTATGGTGGTTGAAAAATCCTAGATATCATTTAAATTTAATTTTAGCTTATTTTGAAGAACCTGATGAAACTGGTCATTCATACGGTCCAAATAGTAAACATGTTGCAAAAGTTGTTCAAACCTTAGATAAAACACTTGGTCATCTATTAGACGGTATCAAAAAACGTGGTCTTTCTGATAAAGTAGATATTATTCTAACTGCTGATCATGGTATGTCTGAAACATCAAATACTCGTCTTATTCCGTTGGACAAATATATTGATAATTCTTTGTATAATTATACTCAATTATCAACTATGGGATTCCTTTATCCTGCACCTGGTAAGTATTCAGTCCTTCATTATCGGAAAAAACTTCACGCATTGTAATAAACTTTTCTTTCTGAGATTTTCTTCAGTGCGGAATTATCTCATACCCATTAAAAATCAGGACTCATTCAGCTACTGTTTCATCCCGTTTTATAAATCGAACGACACTGTAAACAGTTCGTATGGGATCAAACTCAGGAACTGTTGGTTTGCACTGAGTTCACTCGAGATTCCTAGATCTGATTCAAACACGAAGGATTTACAAACTTTCAAGGGAATTTGTCTTGATCCTCACTAGCAGTGCATTTTCTGTAATCAACTGATTGTTATCTCGCTTCGATTTCATCTGATTTTTTCCAACTTAACAAATCTAACCCCATAAAACTCAATATAATTTAATAACTAATGAACATTGTATGTTATAGTAAACCAACCTAATTAATAGCTATCTGGTATCTAACTATCAGTGTCGTGCTCGAGTCTCACTGAAATATTAATTTCCTTACGAATCTGTGACAAATAAATGTGTAAAACGTACCTCACCGATTTTACATTCATTCATCGTCAACTACAATTATGCATTATAAAATACAATAATTATCTTTCACTCATTATGGTTACCTGATGTTTTAACTTTTTCGAAACCCTCCTCTTATCATTTATACATAACTTCATGTTAGAAATAAGTACTGATGGGAAATTTCAGTTTACTACATTACGTGTAATGCTCGTTGTAAAATTTGTACCTTATGAGGAATGTTCTTAGGATTATAGTTATGTTCAATCAATTGTTTTAATGTCAAATCTTGACAAACTTACCAGTATTCATTCAGAGATCAGTCGGTAACATATATTTAATAAGAATAAAAGTACAAATGTAACAGTTACATATTTTTACTCATCATTTTCTTATAATTAGGGAAATTTGAAGAAGTGTACAAACGTCTAAAAAATGCGCATCCAAAATTAGATGTGTATCGAAGAGATGAAGTTCCTACCTATCTGAATTTCAATATAACCAACTCTCGTATGCCTCCATTGATACTTATTGCTAAGCCAAGTTGGAAAATTGTAAAGAACACTTCACATCCTTACGCCAATGTTTGTAAGTTAATTCGGATATTTTCATTGGTTTTACGCTATCAATAACGTTGAGTAGTAAACAAAAAAAACTTAACTTTTATTGATCTTAACTTTTATTCTATTTTTCTATATGTCTATTAGCTGGTGATCATGGTTATGCAACAGATTTCTCTGAAATGCATCCATTCTTCATTGCAAGTGGTCCTTCTTTCAAGATTGCTGAAAGCGTTCCTACTGTCCATGCTGTAGACGTTTATCCACTAATGTGTGCATTATTAAATATTCAACCAAATCTAAACAATGGCAGCCTACAACGTATTTCAAACATACTGAAACCTGATGTTGCCAATCGCCTTTTGAATTTGAATAGTTGGTCATATTTATGGAAATGGATCATATTTGATTTGAGATTTATTTTATTTATTTCAATTATATGCGTTTCATTTATGATTTTACTGTGTTCAATTGTAGTTGTGATGAATCGTAAAGAAACCAATGAACCATTCATTCGTCTACCTATTGATAATGATAAAGAGTTTTCAGATTATAATACATGAAGGTATTTAGTAACTATAATTCTTGCTCAACCTCATCAATTTATTTCTATTATTGATTATTAATAATAACACAAACTCTATCATGATTTTCATTCGATGAATCTACAGAAACAAAAGTTTTTTTATCGTTCTCTAAAGCAATATCTATCAACTCGATCCCTTCAATATACATATATACTTAATTAGGAGTATTTTTTTGTATAAGATGCATATTTGATTGACAAATATGACTTAAATATGTTAAGTTTACATTTTGTAAAGAGAATAGTGGTTTAGGCAAATGTAAAAAGCAAAATCTAATTTAATTCATTAGGCAAGGAGATATATTTTATCATTTAGATAAGGATTCATTAGATTCATGAAAGGATGAATTATTTGTGCTGTCTGGTAAATAGTCTTTCAATCCCATATGATTAACGGATGTTAATTGTGCAAAGTTGATCCCAGTCATTTAGTTACACGAAACATAGAAGCAGGTACGTGTGTACATTGGTTCAAGTTGCCACACCACATTAGCACAGTGAGATGAAATTGCCAGGGCAAATTCCAGAGTAATAGAGGTAGTAACAGTATGTCATAATAGAACAAATTAGGGATCAAAGATACGATCCATAGCCGACATATTTTTAAGTTTACGAGGATCACTTCTCATATTTGAATGAACTACAACAAATTAGTGTTTTTCTAGCATCTCTAAATTTCTAAACAATAAAATACCACAAAGTTCTTGATGCAAGTAGTTGTAGTTCTTACTAGCACAATAAATTTAAATCTTTTTCAATGACCCACTAGCAGTCAGAGAATATTGAATGAGTAATTTATTGACAAGCGATAAGTAGCGTAGGCGGAACTATTCATGGCTTCGAAACAGTGCATGAAATATATAAGAATACTATTTTCTTTGTTTAAAAGTTGGTTATGAACTAATATGACGATCGTTTGACATTTCTTTTCACTGGTAAATGTGAAGCATGTCCTTACAATTATGCCAATACTTGAGAGATTAGTTGAAGTATATACCTTTTGATTATAGCGACACCGTGTAATTTGGCGATCCTGCTAATCCTAGTAATATCAAATATTTCTTGAAAATAATGCTGCAACTACTCTGTATCACAACTTATTCCAAGGCTTCTTTAATAGTTTCTAAATCCCAAACATGTGAAACTATCAATATTATTTTTTGTACTTTTTGGGTCAAATAATCCATCTTAGTGAAGGCACTTTATACGAAGAATATGATCCTAACCTTATATTTTATTAATCTATTCAAGACTTAGTCCATGTTATGAAGGTTTGCTGGTTAAACCGAACCTATAAATATATGTATAATCATCCGTTCACACAGCTTTGTCCCTTAGAAAAGAGACTCATATCTTCAACCACTTGCGTGTCCTCCCTTAAGCAGTGGTGTTGAATTCTGGTCAATAGTGTGTGGTTATCTTTTGATCTAAGTTTGACTGATCTAACGTATTAGCAATGTGGTTATTTTATGTACGTGATGAAGCCGTGGTGAGACGTACGCTTCCCGTAGTCATATCTGATTATCGGTGAGAGCCACTAGGCTTACTCATACATGATATAATTAGCTTTAATAACTGAATTCATGAGTTAATTGAAGCTACACCGCCATAGAAAACCTGGAAGCACTTTACGGCTGTTTCATCCTAGTATGGGACTCCTCAGCAGTGCACATCCACGACCCCGCCCCGTGAGACTCGAACCCAGGACCTATCAGTCTCGCACGCGAACGCCTAACCTTTAGATCACTGAGCCGCCATCTAGCGGTGTTAATGTCTAACTTTAACCAATATACGAAACTGCGCTACCGCCCATCATTGTCTTAAGTGACTTACTATCTCACAACAGACCCAGTTGAACTCCACTGGTCACGGCTTCTCACTAATAAATGTAATATCTGCAACCGTGGCGTTTAGTCTAACTATAAATCTAGTAGAATTATAATGGTGACGGGTTAGTGAAAAATGCAGTAACAACGTAGTACCTTTTTCAATGCGCCAACTATCGTATTACATCGAAAATGGTTCTAAATTACATAGAAGAATTTTATTTTCACATTTTTCAATTAACGTTTTTTATGTCAGATTTAAATGAGATAGCGTTCTTTAGATGACAACTTAGCTATGAAACTGTTGTAGAATGACTCAAAGCAAACATTTTTAAGAAGAAACATGAAAACGATCATCTATTCATTAGGAAGATGAATTTAAATTTATAGTTACTTTCGTTCGGTTAAAGCTGGCCTAAAACAATAACATATTGCAACTAAAAAATTTGTCAGTAAAAAGTGATTTGAGCAGATTTAAGAAAAGAATTTAGAAATATGTGGGATTATCGAGAAATGGGAGAGTTAATTAACGCTTATTTAATAGATATAATAGAAATATGCTAAACTAGTTCTAATCTAGTTTATTAACTGCATTGATTCATAAAAAACAAATAAAAATTCTTAGTTTTTATCCATGGTAAAGTTGTAAACATGGACTAGAATCAATTAAATATAATACCGACAAATTTACTGAAATGTATGAACATCAGTATGTCGTTTTTGAAATGAAAAATACAAATATAATCTCGAACATACAGATGATTGGTTGGATAATCGTCCATTAAAACATCTCTTTCTAAGTTTAGAGTAATTCGTCCAGTATATTTTAGATTTACAAGTCAGGTTGTTGATTTAAACAATATAATATATCCGATTTTGTACAATTGAGACGGACAAGCATTGAAATATCGCATCGCGATCTTTCAGTTAACAATAGCTTATGAGCTCCAAGACTAGCACAAATAGCAAATACTTCTGATGTAGTTGGACATGGAACACCTGAAAAGGACCAAAAAGCTTGATATGAATGAAAGTCCTTGACTTAATAATGCCCTTGGTGAACAATTAACTTATTGTGACAATATTACTCAGCATAAACTTGTATTTGTCACTGATGACCAAAAAAAGGCCAGTAGTTAATTTTCGACCACCAAAGAGTCTGAAAGTTGCCATATAAGTTATGATACGGGAAGGTTAAACTAACATCAATGGTGCACCTAATTGTATCCTAATACAAATAGTGATTATTTCACATATATCTCCTATACTAGAATTAGGATCGTAATGGAAAGGTGAGGGATTTCGATGGGAATATTCACAGAAAGAACTCACTGACGAATGCGAACTCTAATTATAATTGATAGACGAATGAGGAAAAATAAATGTTACAAAATCGGTGAATAAAATTAGCGTAAGAGTGGGCTGTAACTACTCATATAATGTAAATGTGTTGACTTTTGTTAGCGATATCAGAATTGGTTATAAGAAATTCACTAACCTTCCAGTCGACAAAGTGCAAACATTTGACGAATACACCGGTCTAATCGAGCTTCTTCTGTTGAACGCGCCTGAAATTCAGCTATAACAGCACGAAGAAACAATTTCTCATATAATGAACAAGCACATATAGCTTCTGATTTCGGTGTAGTGAACATCTCTTTTAAAGCGGCATTGATATGCGAAATATCTATTTCTTTGTTACCTTTCCCAATAGATGAAACAATTTCAGCAGCTCTTTTGCAGATATCAAGAGCACGTCGCACATCACCAGAAACAGCAGCTACCTTACGTGCAGCCAATTCAAGTGCTTTAGGCTGTAAAGGAAAAATGATTTAGAAAGGAATTATAAAGATCTAAATGTGTATGAATGCGAAAAGAAATGCAGGAGAATGAGATTAGTAAATTCATGTCCCCCAACAGATGAATAAGGTCTTCGTCTAAGTCTGATTCAGTCTAAGAAAATGATAGTCAACTAGATTGAGTTGACGAAGCAGAACGAATATTTTTCGAGATTACCCTGAAATTCAGGAGGGCGAGAAAAACCATTCAGAGAATGAAAGTCAGCTTTTTAGTTCAGGTGTGAGAAAACGATACAGAATGTGTGAGTCAATGAGAATTGTGTCCCAGATACAACTAGTGGAATAAATTAAGTGGTTAAAAAAATGCGGAACGTCTAAATAATAGACCGAGCTATATAATGGAGCTCAAAGTGCAAAATCGAAGTTATTAAAGTAATTCTACTCAATTAACGGGCGATACTTTAATTTATGGACGACATTTGAACGAATCTCAGTGACTTAGGAATTTAAGGCTATCAAAAAACAGTTGGTATAGAGTAAGAATATACTAAACAAAGCCGGAAATTTAGACTAGATACACTACCCTAGCATGATTTAAAAACTTTTCCAGGTTAGAAAGAGGTTCTACAGTTCTGAAATCGTAATGCATATGGTACAGGAACTCATATATGTGACTTCACAAAAACCTACCTCTAAAGTCGTGATAAGGTCACAAGAATTCTTTTAGTCTCGGTCACAGTGCTTCTATATTACTGGTGTGTACTTCTGTGGTGGAGTCTACAAGATGTTTCATGTGAACGACGAAACTAAATATATGCCCTCCAGTCGTCCGTGTATGTTGTGTTACTCGGTTGCACATACCCCCGTATAGCTTGTATTAGCGTTTTAGCCTGTCGGTTTCTGACCTGCTGGAAATGTCCCTTTGTGTGATGACCTAAGTGTATTTGAGGAAGTACTACGTACCTAGTCTTCTCTAGCACTTCTTTCTCTGATGAATTTGCATTTCTAACTACTGTTTCATCGATCTCTATGATTCTCCCGATTCCCCCAAACTACTAATTCAAGGTCATCATCTTTATCGCAAATATATCTCTAAAGTACTCAAATCACTAAACTGCCGAAGCTTCATTAACATTTTCAAAGGTTACGGCCAGTGTTACTAGTGCTCTTATTATCCAGTTTACAACAATTACCATTAGTGTCAATCGGGGCCGAGTGAAGAAAGTTCCCGCTCTAGAAGATTTCTTCCTTCAATACATATTACCTCGAAATACAGTATCGTCGCAATAGTCTGCACAATGTCCAGTAGTCATTTGAATAGCTCAATCACAAGTAAAAAGGCTTATCAGTAATCTCATCTATTGTAGCCTCTCAATGATAACGGCCTTGAAATCTTCTGTAGACCGACCGTACGTATGTATTAGGCACTGAAATAGACCCCGCGAGCTTGAAATCGCTTACTCTCTATCGACTGGCTCATCCACAAATCATAGTCCTGCCGCGTATAGCTACAAAAGCTGTTACTAGACATATACTTAGCAAATTTAT